TTTCTGTAATAGGGTACCATCACACAGCACAGAGGGAAGTAAACCAATAAAACGTCAAATGTCGAAGTAAAAAAGAAAAAACAGCCTACCCACTATGGTTCATCAGTAACACAAGAGCCCTGCAAGGCTGGAAACTACATATGGTCAAACAAGAGTTCAGTTCCCCAGGTGTACACACCTAGACAGCACAAGGGAACCCAGGATCTGATGAACTACAGGGCTGGGGTAAGGGAATCACAGCACAGTTATACCCTGTCAATGGGGCTTCTCTCTCTCTCTCTACCTCCCTCCCTCCCTCTCCTTTACTTTATGAAAGAAGAGAAAGAGGGAGGGAGAGAGAAACAAAACCAAACTTGTTTGTATTTGTAGGAAAGTTTAAAACCAAATACTGTGAAAGCAACTAACAAAGCTTTGTAAATAATCACATTATTTCAATACTAAGGCCCTGCTGCCATATGCCAATCACAAAAATCTTTCAAAATTTCTCCTTAAATCACAGACAAGGAAACAATACTATGTTTAAGTAATGGAAATTCAGGATCTAAATTCTGTAACTACTGATATAATCTTACTCTCAATATAAATCACTCATTTTCATAAGAGGACATATAAAAGGGGGAAAATAAAATCATGAACTTATTTAAATTTCGGTATTAAATTTTACTGCATACTCACAGCATTTTCTATTGAATTAATTATCATTAACCGCACAAATTCCTTTTGAAGAGAGGTTTTTGCTATAGAGTGCGTGCACTTGCCAGAAAAACAGAAAACGAGAAATCACCCCCTCCCCGGGGGGGGGGGGGGGGGGGGCAATGGCCATGCCACAATCCCTTCTCTTCCATTCTTCTCTCAGAAACTTGGGCACACACACACACACCCAGCGTGGTGTTGAGTTTAAGCCACCTGGTCCAGAACTCGAATTATAGTCAACTACATGGGAGTCCAGTGACATAACCATTACGCCATCTGCTGGTCCCATACACATTCCTTTAAAAGAGATATTATTCATCTATGGGTAATGTTTTCAGGAGAATTTTCTTTTCTTTTTTTAAAATAATTATTTTATTTAACTTTATAATTATTTAAATTCACCCGGAGAGGGAGGGAGGGAGGGAGGGAGAGAGCACGAAAGTGAGAAAGCAAGCCGCCAGGTCTGGGACTCTGAACCAGTCGGCCATGTGGGAGTCCAGCAGCACCCTTAACCACCACGCCACCTGCCGGCCCTGCAAATTTCCTTTTTAATCCAAGTTCTAAGAAACTGCTTTTGCTAACGCTAAAAAACTAGCTGTTTAATATATATTCAATAATTAGGTGATAAACTAATTACAATGAAATTATTCCTACAGTAGGATGTTGATGCACTGGAGAAAATGCTAGCAAGAAAGAGGGCATATCTCTTATTTTTTTATCAGACTGTGGTCACTGTTACAAAATTTTAACTATATTAATTCATTTAATCCTCACAATGACCCTATGAGAGAGATTATCATTTTAATGCCAATCCTACAGCTGAGGAAACTAAAGGACATATTCTGTAACTTTGAAGGACATATTTCATAATATATCTAAGGTAGTCTGGCCAAGTAGAAGGGCATGAATCTGAACTCAGTCATGCTTCAATATCACCACTTTTCAAACCTTTACATACACACAATTCCCCTGAGAATCTTGTTAAACTCAGAGTCTAATTTAAAGTTTTGCTGACTTTGAGTTTCACTAGTCAACATATTATTAACACTATTAATTTTATGCTGTAATCCCAATTCCTAATAAGCCCGCTCACATCCAAAATACTTATGAATACTTTACTCCTAAATATACCTACTTTAACACAGACTCAACCTGAACTTATAAAAGAATAATAGTGTTTATTTGTACTTTTTCATGTATGTAAAAAAATTATGAGGTAAGTGAGAAAGTAGTACCTTTATAAACTTTTGCTGTATTTACAAATGGTAATTATGAGAGGGCAGGATACCCTTTGGGAAACAGAAGGAACATAAATGTTTAATAACACATCACTAAGCAATTCTAGTCAATAACTATCTCTAAAAATGTAGTAATGTCCATATCAACAGAAAAAGAAATACCAATACTATCAAAACATATTCAAATGTGTGTAAAGGCATGCACCTAATTCAAAAATTAAATCTATCCTAAGATCACCCCAGGTGTGTGTGTGTGTGTGTGTGTGTGTGTGTATTAGGCATAACTATATAATAACTAAAGAACATTTCATTAATAAAAGCAGGAAAGAAAGGATTTAAGAGAACTCTCCCTAGTCTGAGTAATTTTGACTTTGCTGAGTTTTCTTATACTTCATTCAACTTTTGCTTGAATGTACATATACAGACTTTACATTTCTTCCCTCAGGAAGAATTAAATATCACATACTTTGACAATACTTGTAAAAATCATATTCAAAATCAGAGTGGAATTCTGATTAAATAACTACACATGAATATCGGAAGTATCAGTTTCATAGATTTCAGGCAATATGAAATCACAAATTCTAGAATTTATGAATACAGACTCCCATTTTTAAATAACATAAATTACTAAATTTAAACAATAGGATCATTATAAAGCTGAAATTCTCACTTATGTACCTATGAATTAAAAGACCACCACCACAGTCTATCACAGATCTGACAGGAGACCAAAAGTACAAAACAAATTCAGGCTTATCTGCCCAAATCCTAAAATGCCTCTAAAAAACACTCAATATCCCAAGAACAAGGAGTAGGTCCTTGCCCCACAAAGATTTTGAAGACCCAAAGAAATACTCGCATATTTTACATGTGAAGCATGTGTACCTGAATAAAGAAACAACTTCTCCCAGCCCCTACTAAGACTTACTCTCATTTGTTTACTCACTAACGCAATCACAAAGAAATGCACATACTAAAAACACTCAATATGTTGTTTGCAATACCTGACAGTCATCACAGGTAGTGACAGGAAAGCAGAGATGAGGTATTCCAAGTTACTGTTCACAAGCAAGCCCAAAGATCTGTTTTGTTACTAACCACTAAACATACAGCATCATTTTAAGGAGTTAAATTAAATCTAGTATATACAGAGAAAAATATAAGTGAAATTTTTTATCTCATAAAATCCTATTCTCTCTAAAATAATTCTGTTTTTATGGAAATATTTCTGGGTTAAAACACGTAAAGCGTATTTCTTCCAAAACTAAAAATACTAAGCAACTACATTCAACACATGTCTACTAAACTCTACATTTCAGCACGTACACTACTTGTGCTGTTTGCAATCAACAGAAATCTTTAAAAACATTCCACCTCACATACAATTTTAGAGCACTGAAGAGTTCTGAATTGATAGGTCTTTACATCTTTCATAATGGGAAATATTAGAACATACTCTACAAGTTAAGTGATTCTCTCAGAGAGCAAATTTAACTTGACCTCCCTAAATGGCTACAGATTTGACACACCATTTAGAAGGCTGTAAGGAAATACTTTGATTTATTTATTCTCCAAAGTAGTACTGCCCAGTAGAACTGTAATGTAAGCCATGCATGTAATTTTAAATCTTCAGGTAACTTCATTAAAATAGTAAAAAAAAAAAAAAGTGAAAATAATTCTAATAACATGTTTTATAGAGTTAAACATAACCAAAATATTATAATTTAAACAAAATTTTTTAAGCTGCTAAAGTATTTGACATTCTTTTTCTCATACTAAGTTTTCAAATCCAATGTGTATTTTATACTTAACAGCACATCTCATTTTGGACTAGCAACCACTGAAGTGGTCAAAAGCTCCATGTAGCTAGTGGCTATACTATTAGACAGCACAGCTCCTAGGTAGTACTGTGAGATCTGACATTTCAGTATTTTAAGTTAGTTTACATTTCTATTTCCTTTTTGAACTGAAATGGCTGTGATTACAAATATAAGAAAAGCTGCTCGTTCATTGAATAAATCAGTATATCACCTTACTGAAGACCTAGTTAACACACACACACACACACACACACACACACACACACGTACCCTACTATAGCTCAACTAGATTTTCAGAGATAGGTCTGATCATCACTGATGAATACAACTTGTGGTAAAAATGTAAGTAGGACACTAAAATATTTTCCTATCAAACCATAACACTGCTTTATTTCTAGCAGCCATTCTCATTCTTGAGCACATATTTCTATGTCAATTACCTACAATACAGCCTTCTAAGTTTGATAAATCTGTAAGTCTTACGGTCACTGTTAAACAACAGAGCACTATGTAAGATTGAATGAAAAAAATTTCTGGGGAAAAATTATCAACAAGCTACTTTTCCTGCATCGTGTGCCAATGAACAATCTTAAATTCTTCTGAGTTCCACTGAAATGTACTCTTTCCATAATTCCAATTCATTGCACTGCTTTTTCATAAACATATTTTAACAAAATTACTAAAAAAACATTCTCCAGTAATTAGACTATTTGCTTAAAACGGAAAAATTTCCCAACAATGCATTCTTTACAAAACAACTGAAATCATTAGCTTATCACGTAAAATTTGTCCTAAAGGCAAGTTACTGAATAAATCAAACAGAAACACTCTTGTTTATTATATTTACATTTTATAACATCACATTCAGCAATTTCTAATCTGGAAGGTCAGTTCAGATTGCACACAAACAGTAACTTTAAAGCTTAACAAAATTTTAGAAGTTTCTGCAATATATTCCTAAATAAATATACTCTACAGAAACACAGAAAAATCAGCACCCTCTACACTAACCTCCGTAAGCAAAAAAAAAAAAATCAGTATATTCATAAACCCACAATAACACATGATAAAAAATATTGTTCTCCCTATTTTATATAATTCACCTCAGACAATTTGTTTAATGCCCTTGCAAAGCTGTAGAGAAGCAAATGTAGTCTCTTCTGCTACACACATATCCAGGACAATACATTTATCTCTTGGTATTTTTTCACAATTTGAAATCAAAACAACAAAATTTGCTTCTTACCTGCAGTTAGGAGGAGGATCAAGGGTTATTTCAGCTAGCTCCTTCTGAATTCTGTTAGTGAAATGAGAACAGACAAAAAGGATTTGAGATAGTCTACAGAGTAACTGGGGAATTACACTGCCCTCTACCACCATGCAGTTAAATGCAAGGCTGGCTTTGCCTTCAGTAATGCTAACATGGCTGCTTCCTCTTTGTTCTCAGAGGCATAACCCAAATCCCTTAACAGAAACTTTGCAGCTTTTTTTCTCACTTGCTACTGTAAATAAGTAAGTCATTTACACTCGATTTGAGAAATGGTTCTCCATTAGTACTCACTTAAGGGCACAAAATTTATTTTAGAACACTTTTTACCAAAGAAATTCTCTTTTCAAGCTTATATGCAAATGAGACAAAAAGGGAGGAGGGAAAGCACTAGAATATTTGACAATGACTTCCAGTCACTTTTATTGACATAAAAATTCCCAGCCTATTGCACGAACACGTTACTAGTTTTAGCAATATTTTATCTATCAAAAAAAGTTTAAAATTTACAAATCTCTTACCAGTGAAAAACTTCCAACTACTATTTGGTATTCAAATATAACCATTGCTATTTCCCCAAATCTTAGGTACAGCACTTAAAGTTAATAAATTTGGAGCAAAAGAGGATAAGATACACATCCTTAATTTAAAGGAGAAAAACTAATCTCTGATTTTGTTTAAATTTAAGATGATTTCAAAACTTGTGTTTAATATGTTCCTCAGTAAGATACAAATCGAGAAACATTTCAAATCATGCCAAACGCTGCTGCCACTCAATAAAATACTCAAGTTATTAAGACTTGATCACTGAAAGAAGGTTGAAAAGTCACACACACACACACAAAATAAGTATTTCCAAACACTACAGAATGTAATGCTTAATTGGTTTTCACATTTTCCTCTTCCTTTAGTTGTGATCTATGAATTAATAAATTCACTCTTGGCTAATGTTGTAGGTACATTCCAGGTGTAATTATTAGAGTTCCTGGATACTCCACTACTACTATTACTGATGGAGTCCCATTGACAGAATCCTTTTATCGCCATCACAGAAAATTAAATCAACAGGAAACAAATGATGTTTCACTTACACCCAACAAAATATGTTTCTCCTGCTGTTGAGTATTAACGTGTCAAGCACATCCACAAGTTTTAAAAGTGAAGAAGGCACAGAGACAATGAAAGTTTTCAATCACCAAGTGACACCTAATCAGTTTTATTTGCCCCCACAAGCACATGTAGGGATAACTACAATTTAACTACAAAAAGTTGTACCTGTGATGCATGATTTAATGTCATTCGAAAAACTGTAAGTAGATCTGGAACACAACTTTAAATCCACATCCAAATATAGCCAACACTTGGAATTTACTAATTTTCTAGCAATTATGATCATTTCTGATCACTAAGTTTCATGAAGAGAAGCATTGTTTAGCTCAGAGGTGTCAATTTCACTGAAGAAGATCTGACTCATAAAAGGAAACATCCCCAATGTACCATCTAATTTGGGTTCACCAAATTTCCCTTGCCAACTTCGCAGCCTGTCAAAATGTTAGTCCAGTATCTACTCAAGGACACTTTTGCTAAAGTTACCAAAGTACAGAATAAGTTTGCTTAAAAGTATAATTCTAGTGAGGTCACTTGTACACGACCAAAAGAATGACAACTCATTCAAGTATAAATGAAACTCGTCATGAACTAAATACTTCTGAACTATTGTTACTGATGTATAAACCAACAAAAGCGTCCAGCCATGTGGAAGACAACCTGACAATGTGCTTAATCCTTCTTTTACACATTACCTTTTAGCACTAGTGGATAACTTAGCAGTGGTTTTGCTAGAGAGTTTGGTATTTTTCTTCTGCTGGGTGGCAGAAGGTTTTCTTTCTTCTTGTTCCTCAGGCTCTGGAGCGGCTGGGTCTCGCTGGTCCGCATCTGAACTGCCACTGCTGGTGCTGGGGCTCTCATCATCGGACCTTTGCCTATCACTGGACATCTTGGTGAAGTTATCTCTTGGAGAACTTTGAAAGACAAAAAGGGGGGGAGGGGGCAGTGTTAAATCTAAGAAATAAACCAACAGCATTTTCCTAGCAATTCACCTAAAACCCTATTTTATTGAAAACGCTTCAAAGTGTTCACACTTATCTCATCGTTCGGCAAGGTTACAGGGGAGGTGATGCCTCTCACAACCGCAGCGTTCAGGGATTTACCGAACTCAAGTTAGAAAACCCACTCACATTTTTTTCCATGCCTTGGACAATCTATCAATTGTCTACTTTCTCACAAGGCATGAAACAGATTTGCCAGGGAACTTAGGCAGCGAGCATTAATAACATATGACACACTGTAAATAACAGATCTCGCTGAAAAATGTTAAAAAGTCACTAATAACGTCTAAATATTTACACAGTGACATTGGTCAAAGCCACCAAATTCCCTTTCCGAGGGGAAAACATACCCTGTTAATCGCCCATATGCTTATTTAAGGTGGCGATTCCTCCCTCTGTGCACGTAAAGCCTTTAAGCACAACACTCAGAAATTTAAAAATCAACTAACAAGCTGCTCTGGCCGTTTCCACAGCCAGCAGCGAAGATTCATCCGGCCAAGACCGAGCTGCCACCCTGGGAAAAGCAGAATCCAAACTGCACCTTCTGCAAAGCTCCCAATGCCGCCGAGGTTCCTCGCGGAATTTTTACATCACGGACCGACATTTTGTCCAAAATAACGAAAAGGGGAAAAAAGGGACCCCCGAGGAAAAACAAACAAACAAAGCCCCAAGAAGAGGAACAAATTTCCGCGCCCGCGGAGGCGAG